TCTCCCCAATTCTCGTCCAACTCCATTGACTCCCTATCCTTCAGATGATCCAGTTCAAGATCCTGGTCCTCACCTACAAAGCCATCCACGGCCTTGCCCCACCCTACCTCTGCGACCTCCCAACCACCTACCAACCCACCCACTCCCTCCGCTCAGATGGCTCTGGCCTGCTCCACGTCCCCCGACCCACCCGCCCCACCAGTGGCGGGAGAGCCTTCAGCCACTCTGCCCCCAACCTCTGGAATTCCATCCCCCAGTCACTCCGCCTCACCCTCCTCCTTAGCCTCCTTCAAGTCCCGCCTCAAGACCCTCCTCTTCGGCCATGCCATCGGCCACCCCCCTTCCCCTCCCCTCCCTTCTCTCTCCCTGACCTCAGCTCGGGTCTGAAGTGCTGTACACTGACCAGCACCTTGGAACGTCGTCCCAACGTGAAAGGTGCTATATAAATGTAATCTTGTTGGTGTTGTGTAACTGGCTGTCAACTTGAACCATATGCAGTTGTTGATCCAACTCTCTGCCTTGAAACAAGTCAATTGATCTCTGAACCCACCTGCTGCTTCCCTGCTCCCACCATCCTTTGTCAGGTTCCTTTAAATCACACCCCTACACTGAAGTGTCATATTCCCTATGCTAGGCCGGGTGAGTACCCGCATGTTTGTCTCAGTGCAGGTGCCACAGTCTTGCTGACGGTACTTACAGCAGGTACTCCTTGTGCTCTATGATGCAGCGTGTTGCATTATTTAATTCCAGTGGTTCAGGCACATCTGCATCAGAAATAAAAGTAATCCTTTTGGACATTCTCAGAATTTTTACATTTGTTTGTGAAGAAATATTTCCTATGTCCTGTGTATCACCCAAACTTACACTCTGGAAACCACACTTCCATTTTCTGGTTCACTTTTCCACTATCCACAGCATGTGACATTCCATCCAAGGAAACAAAATACTCATTTTGCCATCCACAAAGCACAGGAAACTCTCCATGGGTCAGCAGCTTCACTCGAGTCATTTCCAAACACACACCTACACACCTGCTCTCATTGCCCTGAAGTGTGGCTCCTTAATATGGTTTAACTATCCCGAGTTCCCAGACTGAGCAAGGAGGGCTCAAAATTTGAGTTAGATCAGTAGGTGACTAGGCCAATGCTTCATTAACCACAACATCAGAACGTGGAAAACTTCAGGCTCCAGAAGAGTATACTCCAAGAGCTCAGGCCACCTATGGTAGGATTACTTTGCCAGCTCAGACAATGACTTGGATTTGGAATCACATAGTCTAAACTGACACTCTAATGCAATGCTAGGGGGGTGTTGCATTGTCGCAGGCACCGTTCTTCAAATGAGGTGTTAAACTGAGATCTGCCAATTTAGGTGGATGATAAAGATCTCATGGCACTATTCGAAAAGAGAAGGGAGTTTCTCAGGTGTCCTGGCCAACAATACCCAAATAAAAATTCACTCACTTCATGCCTGTTTGCTGTGCGCAAACTGGCTGCCACATTTTGCGCACAAAATACACAGACAATCCACTTCACAGTATATCCTGCAAAGCACTTTGAAATGTCTCAAGACCCAATATCAAAAGCAAGGATTATTATTCATTTATTGTTATGTTGCACAGCATTTTCTGAGTTCTTAATTCAGAGATTCAATGTTTCTCATGGTTTTAGCCTGAATACTATTAACTTAAACAACAACAACAAGATTTCATTTATAGAGCGCCTTTCACGTCAGGAGGAAATCCCAAGGCGCTGGACAGTTGGGTCAGGACCCGAGCATGGGGGAAATGGTCAGGGTGAGGGGAGGGAAGGGAGGGAGTGAGGAGGGGTTAGAGAGTCGAGAGGGGAGCTGAAGGCTCGGTCAAAGAGAGAAGTCTTGAGACCGGCCTTGAAGGAGGAAAGGGAGGAGGCGGCGAAAGCACTGGGGGATGGAGCTCCAGAGCCCAGGGGCTGAGAGGCTGAAGGCCCGGCCACCGATGGTAGGGCGATTGGGGTGGAGGATGTGGAGCAGACCGGAGCCAGAGGAACGGAGGGTACGGGCAGGTAGGTAGGGGGATAGTAGGTTGGAGAGGTAGGAAGGAGCAATGCCGTGAATGGCCTTGTAGGTGAGGATGAGGATCTTGAATTCGATCCTCTGGGGGATGGGAAGCCAGTGGAGGCGAGCGAGGGTGGGAGTGATGTGGTCGCGAAGCCTGGTGCGGGACAGTACACGCGCTGCAGAAGATCAAGGAATTTGGAAAATTCTTCAATTTAATCTCGATTTTCTGCAGCACTTTATAAAGTACTGTGGAAAACCCAAGCAAAGTATGTGTTGCAGTGATTGCACTTTGACTTATTTGTGCAGTGGATATATATTAGTCACTCATCACAGTTAGAATTAGGTTTAAAATACATACAATTTAATTGTGTTTCATTGGATTTAGGATTATATGCAGCAATACTGGTGGAATATTGACTGGAATATGTAAGAATAATAATCATTGCATGTGATATAGTGTCAATAACAGTAAAAGATCTGTATAGGACACTGAGATTAAATAATATGACCCACAAACTCAAAGTACAGTATACTCTTTGTGACTAGGTTTATGTTAACTTCGTATCTAAAGAAGTTCTCAAATCAAAGCAGGAAAATTCTGCTTCTGCCCCTGTGTACACATTATAAATTCAAATGCAGATAATAAACTAGAATTAAAGGAGTTAAATTAGAATTAAGCACTCTTTTAACGTTCATTAGACAAAGGCAGGATTCAGTTTCAATTACACATTGAAATTTGAAGGGTTACTATAATCCTGGTTAACTGATGAAACATGCCATTGCTTTGATCGAATGCTAAGAGATGAATGCACCTTATCCAAGTGATGGAATCTTGCTGGAAATTTGCTGAGCACTATCAGAACATGTTGCAAAGCATATTTTTCCTTTTGGGTTTCATTGATTCTCTGAGTTTACACAATTTACAAATATTACTGTTACTTGTGAAAATATCAGAATTTTAAACTGGAGACCTTAAACTGCTGCAATTAAATCCCCAAAGAAATACACAACAGATATTGGAGGAAATAGACTAAAATACAAAAACATATCACAATAAATGCACAGGCACAGAAACATTAATATAGTGCATGTAATTAACACTTATTTGTAAAATACGCACTGAACTTGCAGATATAGTATGATGTGAACAGTCAGCATCCAAGTGCTAATGTTGCCCAGGAAACGGTAGAGTTATTCATTAAAGTCTAAATATTAATTAAAGAAAACTAATTAAATCAATTGAAAAGAAGCTGATACAAATATAAAATCAAGTAGCTGCAACTTTTAAAACTGTTTTCCAGGTGAACAGTTTCATTTTTATTGTCAGATTGATACTCTCATCTATGTGCTGTATTCTATCACTTGGGTTCAAATGATGCATTACCACAGGTATTGTCCTTCAGATAATAATAATCTTTCATTTAGCTTCGTGCCTTATCACATTGTTGAGACATCTAAAGTGCTTCACAGAATATAGTGCAAAGTGGTTCACTGTGTTTTTTGTGGGTGAAACACGATAGCCAATTGTGCACAGCAATGTCCCACAAACAGTCTTGGATGGAGTGACCAAATCTTTTTTTGTGGTGGTGGGGAGGGAGGGATTATTATCCCTGGAAAGCAATCTGTCAATTGATTACCAACGGGGTTCCGGTAAACAGAGTAAATTGAGATTTATTCAAACCTCATCAAAAGAATTTCCCAGATTCAATTCCCTGTCTCTGCTGATTTATATGATCTTAGTCTTAGCATTGGGTGTGGTATAATTACCCTCAGCACCTCTGGGCTAAGGAAGAGGAAAATGTCAGCTAGATTTTCCAGCTCCTGATCATTATCAAGTGTGCATGCATGTGTGGCAGGTGAGAACATTGGGCTTGGCCTCCCATGAATAAATAACCTGACAGTATTGCCTTAGAGTAAGTCAACACCTTCAGGGGCGGAGGGGAAAATTAAGAGGGGATGGGGTAGGCCGGAGGTTGAATCAATAGAGCTACAGCTTACAAACTGGGAGCTTGCTTGTTTGAAACCATGTCCATACTGGGTTTGTTGGTCTCAGCTGAGGCTATGTGGGGGGGATAAATTGGTTCTGGCTTTCCCAGGATTAGGGAGTGGAAACTCAACCAGATTTCCTGCTCCTTGTCCCTCTACAGCACCCTTTAATGGTAGTGTGTGTGTGTGCGCAGAGGTTGGGGCTCTGTCTCTACAGCCACGGTCTCTCCATTTGAGTTACCTGCCAACATTTACTGCTAAGACTTAAACATGTACATTGCGACTTGGGCAAGGTACCAGAGGGCAACAGGTGACTATGGAACCTAATCCCAGCAAGAGAAGGCTAGGGACCAGAGGCATATCCCAATGGGAACAAAACATAATTGGAGACACTAAAATTTTAAAAATAAAAAGGTGGACAATAATAGTCAATAAAATTTGAAAGAGGCCCCAGGCTTTCAATCTATTTGCTCCCACTCTCTGGAATTCCAACCCACAGTCCCTCCGACTCTCCCCTCCCTCACCTGTTTTATGGTGTTCGGGTCATCTTTCCTTTCCCCCCCACCCCTTGGCTCCCACCGCCCCCCAACTTGGGTGCCAAACCAGGACAGTCATGTGTCTTGGAACATCCTCCTGATGTGAAAGGTGCTGTGTAAAAATAAATTTGTATTGCATTGTAGAAACTATTAAAACTTACTTGTTCCTGATAATTCATTCATACATATGCATACTTGGTGAAGGACTGATTCTTTAACATTTACCTATATACGTAAATGCATCTCATTATGTTTATAAAAACATGATAGGGAAGAGTCATGGCATTTCTGAAACTGTGATTTGATTTGATTTCACCATAGATATGTTTGAATATATAGTATTATACTTCATCACCTAAATAAATTATTTATAGGGATTCAGGTTAATCCCACGGTGCACATTTCACAAAGACTAATTTGCAACACCTCATCTTTAGAAATCAAGTTCTTATATTTTATTGTGGAAAAAAATATTTCCTTATTATATTGCGGTACACACACACCAGTCATCAATTGTGACACACACATAGATATATACAATCCAGAATCAAGACAATTGAAAACACAGATCCATAGTAAAGGACAATATAAGACACGAACATTGTACATTTTGAAACAGAAATCACATCATGGCATTCACATACACAAGGACCGCGCTGCTAAAGTCCTACAGATCATCGCCATCTCTCTAAAAACTCAGAGAAACGTGAGAGTAAGTCTCTTTCTGTCTCTCTTGCTCACTGGAATGCCTTCAGACAACTGTTGAGATTGCGCCTGAATTGCTGGTCACTTTATGTTTATTCCTCAGACATAAAATGAGTAAAAGAGATTTCACTCTTCCACAGCTCTGTCTGTGGAGATGGTGAACACCACAGTCAATCTTTAATCAAATCAGCCTTAAAATAATTAAATTAAATGCAGTCGCAACCATCTTCATCCATTTGGTACTTAATCCCAGGACCGTTTCAGTGGAAGGTCAATTCCTGTGTTCAGATGGAACATATTTAAAGAAACATTCTTTTTAATTAAAAGTACAGTCACACTGCCGAGCTTGTTGGTCTAGTCTTGTGTTCTGCACCTAGATCAGATATAGACTTGATAAGTCCAGAGTGGATCAGCAGGAAAAATGTGTTGAATACTTTTTTTTCCAATAAAAAGGATGTTTTCTGTTGTTCAATCCAGCTGCTCCAAATGATCATTGCACAAGTTATACTGACAATTTTATTACTTTCCCCCACTTTAAATGGTCTCTAATCTTCTGAAATCACATCAATGTCCTCAGGGCTTGTCTGTCTAGTGGCCATTCTCCACCTGCTCACATGTTGGGCCCCTTTTCGCTTTTGTTGCGGATCTGGGCTGTCTTCCTCCAGTTTCTGCCTCTTGTACTTAGTCCTCCTGTTCTGGAACCACACTTTGACCTGGCGAAACAAAGTGGCTGTTAAATTGCTGGACTTTACACAGAAATTTATCGAGCAAACAAATTGTTACACATCATAAACCCACATTTGGCAAATCACACTTATGGTGATTTTTTCCACAACACATTGCAAATTATTTTTTATCAACAGAAGGAAATACATTGAGAATTCAACTCTAACATTACATTGCAGGTGATTCATTTTGCCCTCAAATTCAGTCAATCCACTTTACAGCATATCTTGTAAAGCGCTTTGAGGCGTCTCGACTGTGTGATAAGGTGCTATATCAAATGCAAGGATTATTATTCTTATTAAGAAGCAGTTTGATGGTTTCCATCTTCTGAAAGAGAGTAGAGTGGACATTCTGGAAGGATGCAATTGAATGGGCTAAATTTTCTTCATCGAAACCTCTGGTGATCATATGATGAGATGGGAGCAAAATACTATTGAAGAGTTGAATGTGTTTCCTTCCCACTCTGGGCTCAGAGCAAGTGAAAGACCAGTATATGTCCAGTATATAGCTTTGCTAACCATCACAGAATCTTATTTGAAGAAATGGTATGGGCTATGGTAGAATTGCAAATTAAACTTTATCAAAAGAAAGAAATACAAAGAAATACATTTTCTTTCAGAAATACACAGAATTTCCTGTGTTTTCCAAAAGACTGCCCTCAAGGTTTTTAAATAATTAAAAATAACAGCAGTTAAGTTGATTCTTTAAGCAACGTTAAAAATTAACTCGCACTCAGCTTTGCTTCAGTTCCACAAGTGAAGATCAAAAGCCATACAACTTCAGTCTGCAGGGTCCAATTGAACCTGTGGAATGACTGCATTGTAATGTATGTGCCTTTGGCATGTTTCTATCAACAACTTACATTTATAAAGTATTTTCACCATAAAAGAAATGTCTGGAAGCACTTTCAAGAAAGGGATTAATTAGAAATGAAGTGAATCTTATGAAGGGGAATGCAGTGACTAATTTGGGTCAGTGAATAATAATCCTCGCAATTGGTGTAGCACCACATCAGTTCGTCCAAGCCTCTCACAGTGTTTCACAGGACTCACCGTGGAGTGGAGTGACTGCATATTCTGTAGACAAACACAGCAGCTAATTTGTGCACAACAAAGTCTCAGAAACAGCCACAAAGTTCATTAATAATTTCATCTGTAACTTCAACAATGAGATGAGAATCCAGCTGAACATGCTGGGTGAATTTTGATGAGTGTGTATGTCTGTGTTTCTTTTTCAAGTGGTGATATAAACCAACATAACCAAAAAGGAAATCTCCATTTTGCTTTGAGATAGAGATGGGGAGGGTCCCTTCCCATCCATTTTAAATCACAAGTTAGCTGGTCTCTGAATTAATAATTCTATGTTAAAAAGGATAGTGTGGAAATACGTATCACCAATCTGGGTTGGAAGGGGTTCAAAAAGATTACTTCACATTAACCCACCCTATGCAGGCTAATAATATATCTTTAGTACATTACATGCTCTTTGCAATGTAGCAGATTAGTTTTCATTATCATAATTCAATTTAGCATGTCAATTTCAGCTCCACTTGCAGAACCTTCGATCTGGATTAATTTATTTACATGCTAGATAAACCTACCCTGCATTTTATTTCATGCAAATCTCTTCTTAATTTCCAGATTCCTAATCATAACCAATTCATTTCACCCAATTCTCTCTATTTGGAGATTTCTTGCCGTAAGTAATTTTTTTAATATAGAAATACCTCCTCTTAGATTGAACTAAAGTGAGAATGTTTAATTGTGGCTTGCTAATAAGTTTTATAAATGACAATACAAGTCCTGACCCAAGTATAACTTTTCTTACAAAAGTAGCATTAAGATGTTAAATGAGTTCTGATACGAGTGATCTGGGGAGTACCAGACATTAGCCCCAAGAAAACATAATGAGAGCAGTAAGCTCTCTCCAGCTGTCCAAATCATTGCTGCTCACAGTAATGCTGTGAATTCCACATTAACTTGTTGAGGACCTCAATTTGGTTCTGCTCAACCAACAACAACAAAAATTGCATTTATATTGCACCTTTCACGTTAAGAGGTCGTCCCAAAGTGCTGGATAATGAGAGGTTTGCACCCGAGTTGTAGTTTGGAATCAAAGAGGGGTGGAAAGCAAAGGGGTGGAGGAGGGAGGATGTCCAAAGTCATGGTCAAAAAGGAAGGTCTTGAGATGGGCCTTGAAGGAGCAAGTGAGGGGAGAAGGTGGAGGGGCTCCGAGATGGAGTGAGGGAAGAAGGCTGAAGGACCGAGTGGAGCCAGCAGAGCGGGAAACATGGGCAGACCAGTGTCTGCAGAGTGGAGGGGTTGAAGTTTTAATAGGTCACAACATTTACGCTACAATCAAACAGCAGCTCCTTCGCCATGACTCCATCCAAATTTGCACCTGGAAAAGTCTTCAGCTCTCTGAAGAAATTCCAAGAAAATGGGTGTTTTCGTAATGCGGAAACACTGATTGTCCAGTGCTTGGGAAGTCCTCCCAATGTGAAAGACCACATACAAATGTAATTTTTTTGTTGTTATTATTTGGGCTCCGAGATTGACAGGAATAATTCTCACACCCTCAGAGCAGCCAATCTAAAATGCAGTTATCCCCAACTATGGAGCTCTGTAGCTCAGTGGTTAGAGCCCTCGCCTCACAAGCGACAGACCTGGGTTCGATTCCCGGCAGGGCGAAACCTTGGGCAAGTTTCCTTACTCCACACGCCTGATAATAATCACTCAAGAAAATAAGCAATAATAAATTGGTCACTTCAATCCATGACTGTTTGTGGGAAACTGCTATGGACAATTGGCTGCCGCGTTTTGCCCACAAATATACAGTCAATTCATTTACAGTGTATTCCGTGAAGCGCTTTGAGACATCTAGAAGATGTGAAAAGTGCTATATCAAATGCAAGGAATATTATTATTTTATTACCTTATTAAAGGAACTTGTGTCTTTTGAAACAAAAATACTATTTATCTTCTGTGCAAACACTCCTCTTAGATCCCAAAAGTTCATCTTAATTAATAACAAGCAGACATGTTTTGCACTTCATTCGCGCGCAGTATCAATACTCGGTTACATGTCACAGATAGTTACAGCATCAGGATTCTTCACACTTTCCCAATGCAAGCTCCTGGAAACAATCAAAGGCAAACAGCTTCATGTACAGTATTTATGTACTGATCGACCAGAAAAGGCAGCTTGCCCATTGCTCCCTCTTTTCACTGGAAATCCACACAAGTTTTGCTGCATAGCACAAATTAACTATGTTTACAGCTGGGTTACAAGAGCCCCGTAGCGTTGTGGTGAGCGCACTCGCTTTGCAAGCGAGAGGACCCAGGTTCGATTCCCGGGTGGGAGGAAACCTTAGGCAGGTTTCCTTTCTCCACACACCTCTGTTTATCTAGCAGTAAGTAGGAACCCGGTTGTTAATCGATTGGCCAATCGCTTTCCGGGGGTAATAATCCCTCAAAAAAAATGTGGTCATTCAATCCAAGACTGTTTGTGTGACACTGCTGTGTGCAATTTGCCACAAAATATACAATCAATCCACTTTACAATATATTCTGTGAAGGGCCTTGAGATGTTTCAACTGCATGATAAGGCTCTATATAATAATAATAATAACCCTTGCATTTGATATAGGACTTTTCATGTCTTCTAGATGTCTCAAAGCACTTCACAGAATATACTGTAAAGTGAATTGACTGTATATTTGTAGGCATAACACAGCAGCCAATTGCGCACAGCAGTGTCCCACAAACAGTTGTGGATTGATGTGACCAATTTTATTATTGTTTTTTTCTTGTGGGATTATTATCAGGCGTGTGGAGTAAGGAAACTTGCCCAAGGTTTGGTCCTGCCGGGAATCGAACCCAGGTCTGTCGCTTGAGAGGCGAGTGCTCTAACCACTGAGCTACAGGACTCCATATATCAAATGCAAGGATTATTATTATTTGCTTCTGTATCTGCCTCACCTTACCAGTAATAACCACTTGCCTAGTTTAAGCAGTGGCAAAAAGCCCAGAGAAGAGAGAGAGAATGGTCTGGGTTATAGATGGAATAAGGGACAAAGCTTGATACAAATCTACAGCTTCAATTGTATTGTGTTATGGCCATGAAAATCGGTGCAGGGAGCCAAATCACCTGCAATAAAAATAAAAACAACCCCCACGCCCCTTTTTCATGTTATAAAAAGGTCAACCGAATTACTTTTCTAACGAGGTCCTGTTAATGTAGCTATGATCCGCTTCAGGGAGTTATTAAAGGAGCGACTTGAATGACTGGCCTGAAGGTTACAATTACTGTAGAAATAATTGGAGCAAATGTTTATGTTTGGACAGTGGACTAAAGTGTTCTTACTGGGATCAAGACCTCTGGTAACAGGAAGGAATGTGAAAACATTTCGCTGTTGGGCAATTATTTGCCAGTGCAGGGGTGTGTATTAATTTGCACTTAGCGATATTGTCTTTGTGTGTAGGTTAACAACAAGTATAATTGAACAATGGTAATACGGCGCAAGTTCTTAAGGAACACACTGTACATTTCCCTTCAGAGTAATGTTTACATAAAGAGCACTGAAATTGAACTGCACCCTGAAACAATATTGCATGTTTCATGCCTGGCTGCTCAACTACATTTTTTATGCTAGAGGAAATTTTTAATTCTATGCTTTATTTTTTCAAATACGCATCAGTACAAAATGCTGAATCCTAATCAGCATAAAATGAGTGAGTTATATAGCACATGTACTCCCACTCTGCTGAACTCCAGCCCTGCGCCTTGGGACGTCCTCCCGACGTGAAAGGCACATTACAAATATAATTTTGTATTGTATGTTTAAACATCTGCTTGGATCAATTGTGTTTCATTCTATTTTTTTAAATACAAAAAAACTTTTAAGGAAAATCAGCAGTTTATTAAATATTAATACCCCAAAGAAAATTGTTCCTGTCATCCTTCCACAGAACATTAAAACCAATAA